GTGTTGGATCAGCTTGTTCAGATTCTCCTCTGTGATGCCTGGACACACACACACACACACACACACACACACACACACACACACACACACACACACACACACACACACACACACACACACACACAATGGACTGTATGACTCTGTTTACATTTAATATGTTCAGCCTTTTCTCTTATGAAGGGGAATTCATGTTCGCTGCTTGGGTCCAAAAATAAAGTTCTGTATATTATTGAACTTCGACACTCTGTATTCTGTCAAACATCATTTTCAGCTGATCTGCAGAAGCTCACGTTCAGGTTGTAGTTTCTCTCTTCAGCTAATGGATAATTAACCTTCATTTCTATGAGTTTGTTTATTTGAAGCTGTCTATAAATTCTAGTGATGGGAAAAGATAAAAAAATGTGAAATTAATCGGGAGACAGACGTTGTGGTTAGTTACCAAAGCACATTAACAGAAATACTCGACACTATAAGACGATAAGACGACAACTGAGGCGACAGCAAAGAGTGGAAATCATTTTAAAACCTTCTGCAGGACGAGGTGGCAGCTCTGACTTTAAATCGACGGTTGCTTGACTCACCATTCTTGAGGAAAATGTAGAGCAGGATGATGCGGATCTTGTCGTATGTGCTGACGTTGGCGTCCAGCAGGATCGGCACGATGGCCCTCATCGGGTCCTTGATCTTCTCTCCCTCAGCGTCTGTTCCCATCGCCAAATCCTGCGGCAGGAAACAAGTTTAACGAGTTTAAATTCTGAGGACTAGAGAAAAAAAAAAAAACCCTCCTCTTGTTTCCTCTCACCTGCTCCACACGGCACAGTTTGTCCACTGTTCCCTGGTAATGCTTCATACAGTCCTCAGCCAGCTGCAGGTGAGTGGAGTACTGAACGAGACAAAACACACCGTCAGAAATAACACACACACACACACAAGAAAACATACACACACTTACATGGTAACACACACACACACACACACACACACCTTGCTGAGCTCCTTCTGGTACTGAGGCATCTTCTTCAGCATCTGGGACAGATCCCTCATCGTGGTCTGTTCAGAGAGAAGAGACATTTAAATGAGTCCGGTGAAATAAAAGACAGAATTGTTGGTAGCAGACGATTGGCTGAAGGACAAACACTCCGAGCTCAATGTCCGTTATGTAAATATTCATTATTTAAAAGTGGGAAACAAAAAGTGAAAAACAAGACACAGAAACTTCAGGATTCGTTTAGTTTCCGGCCAAATTTCTGAGAATTTGTTGAGAAATCTGCTAATTATAATAGTGCTGTATCTCGAAAGCATTTCCTCTTTACCTTCTCTCCAGTGTTCATCCTCTTGCTCGCGGAGAAGTCCTTGAGTTGACGCGTCACTTCCCTGAATCACAAAACACAAGCAGCAGAGGGACGAGCGAGTGAGAGGAGAGTCGTGAACGCTGCTGGATTCAGCATCGGAGGAGCGACGCAGTAAAACGTGGAGATTTGAAGTTGTACTCACTGGGACACCTCAGCTATGTGTTTGTGTCTCAGGCTCACCCACAGGTCATCGTCCTCGTGCAGCAGAACCTCCTTCTCACGAGAGTCTCCGATGCCACTGGTCTCGTACCTGAAGAAAGGAAAAACACCCATTTCAATATTTTACTCTGTAGTTTGATAACGTTTACCCAGAAGCCCTCCATGTTTCTGCTCTTTCGTACTTGTAGACGTCGTTTTCGATGGGCAGCAGGTCGTAGCCCATGGCCTGGAAGGTGAGCTCATGGAGGACAGGTGAGACGGGGTCGAACGCCCTGTCCAGGATGATCAGCTGTGAGCGAGCTTTATCTGGACCCTGCACGGAGAGGGGAGCGGAGACAGGGATGAAAGACGCCTCATATACTTCTCCACCAGAGGGGACACTTCAATTCATTTTCCTGAGCTCACCTCTCCCATGGTCGGGTCGTCGGCCTTGTAGGCGTCCAGCTTGTCTTGAACCAGCTGGGCCAGGGTGGCGTTGTCCTTGTACTCACTGACAGGACGACAGACGGACGGACAGACAGACGGAGGGACGATCAGATTCACAGACAAATGGAAACAAAATGGAAAGACGAGAGACGGGACAAAACAAAAAATATATTTTTTTAACACATTTCTCTGCAGATACATCATCAATAAAACTACTGATACATACATCTGTTATTTAAACAAACATTTTGAGAAGATATGAATCAGATTCAGGACTTGCCATGCACCCCCCACCTACACCTGCACCCACTGGACGGCACAAGCTGTCAATCACACGGTATCCATGTCCCAGTGAAGACTTGAAACTAGAGATTGAGACATAAACTCCTCCGGGAAGATGTTTACTGACGTTATAAAGTGAGAGGTCGTCCCTGTAGCAACACTTGTCTGCTTCATCTACCCAAACGACCTCCCACCAGCGCCCCCTGCTCCTCACCCTCGGTATCTGACAGCCGGGTACTCCTTCAGGGTGGCGCAGAGCGTGGCCAGCTGCTCGGCCAGTCGCTCCATCACCGGGTTCTTCAGCTGGGTCTTGTGGGGGCTGTAGAAACTGTGGAAGGCATCTGGATTGTCCAGAGAGTACACCTGCACCAAACACAGCGTCAGTGTCAGAGCTCTCACGTTAAACTGATTCATGTAACGTCTCCTCTCTCCTCATCTCTCTGTCTCTCAACTCCTCTTTAATCACTTCACCTTCATTTCTAATTACTTGTTTCCTTTCCTCTGTCATTTTCCTTTTTTTTAATTTTTTTTTATCCTCTCTTTCCATCTCCTTCAATTTCCTCGTTTGCTCTCCTTCGCTCATCCTCTCCACTCCCTCCACCCACTCCATCTGTCCACGGTCACATGACCACGCTCCTGCGCTGCAGAAGGGTCCCCCCCCCCCCCCCCAGTCAGCCTGGCTGCCATTGGCCGCCGCCTCCCGTGTGGATCCTGATTCATCCAACAGGACGAGAGCATTGGGCTGGAGGGGTGGGGCTAAGAGGCGGCGTTTCGCCCCGGAGCAGAAAATCACTGACTCGAAATTAATTAAAGTAGACAGGAGGGGAGCAATGCATTGTGGGCCTAGTGTCATCTTCAGATAGTGGGCAAGTGAAGGATGGACAGAGAGAGGAGGTAGAATGAGGAACAGTATAAGTGGCAGGAGGTAAAAGAATAAATATGTCAAGTGTGTATAATAAGAAATTTGTGTTTCTCCCTTTGTCTCTTTTCGTCCATCGTCGACTCCCGACCGCTCGTAAACTCACTGTCTCTGTCCTCCGCCTCGACTCCATCGATCTCTAACGCTCACTATCCCTGGATCTTTCTCTCACAGCCCCAAACAATAAATAGAAAGACAAAGAAGAAACACAGCGACAGAGATGAGAGACGCTGCCGGACGTCTACCTGAGACTCGTAGGGCAGGAATGCGATGTTGATCTCCGTCAGAGTCTTTGTGGATTTGGAAGCGCGACTCTTCACCAGCTCGTTGAACAGAGGATCAGGGCAGGCTGGAAGAAAGAGAATTGCTCTTAATCGTGACTTAAACATTTTATCTCATTGTGGTGACGTTAAAAAAGATGTGATTAAAGTCAACAGCCATACATTTCTACGCAGAGAGAATATACTCACAGTCGGTGAAGAAGACGTGCGCTGCCTTGTATTTAGCTGAATGAGGATCTTTGTAATCTGCGATGAGGGTGTGGACAGACTGAAGGGAGACCGAGCAAATCACTGATGAGTATATGTGCACATTCAAATAAGCTTCATTACCGCGATGTAGTGGAAACTTAGAGGACGATGACCTGAGATAAATAACGAACGATCGGATGAAACCTGTTTTTAAATCTCTGCTCGACTAACAAACAAATTTGGGACAGAAATCTGAGAGGACAAATATTGAGAGGGAGCATCCTCACCTTCTCTGTGGGTGTAATCAGGTAAATGGCCTCCAGGCTGGGAAGAGGCTCTCGCCGCTTGTGGATGTCCTCCACGACTAGAGAACAGAAATGACACGTTAACAATCACACGACACAGAGCGTGAGCGTGCAGAGCGACAGTGGACGTGATGGTCTCTTACTGGTGATGCCCTCCGTCATGATGTCTGTCATCTTGCAGCAGGACGACAACATCCTCATGCTCAGCTGGTCCACGATCAGCGCCTGGCGACAGGGGGACGAGACACTAACTACGCAAACTCTTATTTTCATCAAGAGGCTACACTCGATTTGAGTTTTCACAAACTAGACTGAATCAATGAGAAGCTGCGGATTTGATCACGTCACCGATGAGTCGGTGGGGGATGACGTCAGTGTTTAAACTTCTTACCTTCCATTCTCCCTTCTTCTTCACCTTCTTGATTACATCGTTCATAATCTCTGAGAAAGAAAAAGAGAAAGAAACGTCGTCAGGAACCCGAAGGAGAAGTTTTAATGAATTAAACGTCAAACTTTATTTGAGTAATAACACAAAGGTTCGATATATTTGTGCAGCACAGTGACGAGGTACAACAGATGATTGATCTCCCTCGGATTTGCTTCTTCTCGCAGGTTTTCAGTGGAAACAACCGACGTAATCCTGTCCGACTGGTGCACATTTAAAAATAACCTCATAATGAAATTCCTGCAATGGAGGACAACAACAGGCGAAAGTCAAACACGGCCTCCGACAAGGTTGCACCGAGCACAGACACCGCGACGAGGAGAAACATCAACCGATTGATTCTGTGCTGATTTCAAATAATCCACTGTGACGTCACATCACCACGAGGCTGATATTGGCCTGATCACCACGCCAACAATCTGCCAGTCGTATTAGGACAAATCTATTTAGGGTGAATTACAGTTGGACATGATGCTGGATCACTGTGAATGAAACCCGCTAATCCCCGCGACTGAAACCTGAGGCCACAGAGATACTGATGGATTATCACAGATTACAAAGATTACACAGCAACGTGGACCAAAGATCAGAGATGCGCTCGTGTCAGTCAACGCTTGCTCTCTTTTGATTCGCAGTAAATCTGTAAATTGATGAAGACACTAGCTGCTGATTGGCTGAGAGGGAGGAGCTGTAGAAATCCAATAGGGGAGAAGGAAAGAACACAGGGATAAATAGGACGCATGAAAGGATGGACGAAGACAAACCGAGGCTGAGTCTACGTCCTTTTCGTAGACCACAAAGGCCGACATGAGACAGTCTGGTCTACAGAGGCTTTCGGGGGTCACAACCTCGTCCCGCCCTCATAGCTCAACAGAAGTTTTAACGTGCGTACCGTTCGCTGTTCTTCATAATTTCAACGTCTCGTCGCTTGTCGGCGCAATTTCCTCTTCGATAAACGGCTCCTCGCTGAGGCAGAGACAGTTCTCACCTCCGGTGAGTCAGAGGAACTGTGTCTGACCTCCTGTGGGACGCACGACGTGGGAATAGTAATATTCTCACTAAGTGACAGAGATTTCCTGACTCAGCTTCAGACTTCTCTCCAACATCGTCTCAACAGATTAAGGAGTGAATACTTGTGGATGCGAAGCCTTTGACAAATCAAGCGCACGTTCGGATCCATAATAATCTAATCTCGTCTTTTCATGCAGCAGAAACTCCAGGTCCCGAGATGAGACACAAACAGAGCAGCAGCAGCGAGGATATCCGTCTCACCGGCTCTTTTGTCCTCCGCTGCAGCTCATGTGTTTCCTCTTGTTGTGTAAGAAAGTCACTGAGCAGAGAACAGTTCTTTGTACGTACGTGTATTTAAAAATGGTGGTTTCATTAGAAAACATTCATCTTGATTAATAACAACACAACATAATTCCTGTTTTAACGCTTTGACACCAAGTCTGATGA